ATTAACTTAAGTCCATCATAAGTCCCAAGGTCGGCAGAGCATAACAGGCTGCTGAGCAACAACACGACTACATGCAGGGTCCAAGCATGCCATAAGCTAGAGTCCATTCCCAAAGGCTTCTCCTTATATACAGGAAGCAGACCACATACCCAAAGGCAGCTACTCAGCTGCTTGTGGTAGATCCCACCATGGAGTTGATTGCCAGTCTTCTCATGGGGATTAACTACCACCAGCTGCCCAGCCACTCAACCAGGCCCAGCCAAGTTGACACACAAACCGAACTACCACAGTGCCTAAGGCATTTGACTGTTAACCAGAAAGTTGGTGGTTCGAACCCACTGGCCATTCCACGGAAGGAAGATAGGGCAATCTAGCAGCTTGCCAAGTCATTCTTCTACAGAGAGGCTGGGTAGGTTCCAACTGCCAGCCTTTCAGTTTGCAGCAGAGTCCTTACTCGTTATAACACTAGGGCTCCTTTAACACAGAAAATCTAAATACCTCCATCCTCCAATCTAGCCCTTCGCAATCTGTCCTAGCCTAGCATACAACCCTCCTCACTGCCTCCTTCTCACACTGGAGAAGTCACGAACACTTTCCATACTGACCCTGAACACTTTCCATACTGACCTCCTACGTGCAACTTTGTCCAGATCTTACTGCTGGTCCTTGTGCCCTAGAGCTATCTGTCCAATTTGTGCCTAGCTTAGATCCACCCTGACTTAAGACTGTTACCCATTCTCTTTCCTTTCTCATTAGAATTTGTCTATCTCTCTCTCTCTCCTAATAGGTGGCGTCTGTAGTAATGTCGCCATTAACAACCTGCATTCAGATGTGAGTCCTTGCATTGATAAGACAGGAGTCAGAACTGGTGGGTGGGTTGACACACATACATCATTACTCGTCTTACTCATGTCCCAAGTGAAATGGAGCAACCGCTATTCACATAGGCCTACCGGGGTGTGGGGGCATGTGTACGAGCAAAAAATAAGCTGAAAACTACAGAATTTCAAACTCATAAACAATGCCAGCAAAATTATGAAGGAGTATTGCAAAAAGGGTGTGGGGACAATGTCATCTGACTTCCTCTAACTTTGCAAGTGGGGAGGAGGACCAAGATAAACATCAGCAACCCAAGGCTGAGTCCTATGAGGTGGGGGTCAGACAAGGTTCCACCCTCAACCTTTTTACCAATTCTCACACCAACCATCTCTTCCACAGCACTTTCTGCTTCTCTGCTAGGTTTGATAATTCTTCGCAGTGGCCACACAGGACTCACAGACAACACTCATGGTTATGGGGTTTATTAGAGAAGTAACAAGTTACAATTCAGGATGAGAAACAACTCAGGATACAGTTCTTCAGTCAGTACAACTTCATCTCAGCTGTGCCACAAGCATGCTTCTCTCTGGCCTTAGCTTCTAAGCCCTGTGGCCCCTTGGCCTCTGCTCTGCTTGAGTGTTACAAAGCTCTTTTAGCTCTGCTGACAGCCAGAGAGGCACTCAGCTTTCTCGCCCTGTGTGTGGGCCAGGAAGCCCACCTTTCTGTGCCATGCTGGTCTCTTGGTCCTGCTGCCTCTGCTGCTACCATTTCTCTGCCACCGCTTCTCACTGGCTCTCAGTTTCTTGCTATCTCAGCAAAGCATTACAGCTCTCTCTGTGTCTCCTGGGTCAAAGAGGTTCAGCACAAGGGTCTTGGGTCTAAAAGATGCATTCCATTTCTGGCTCTTCTTTTTTGACAGTAGTGATATTCTCCCCTTTTTGCCTCTGGGATGACTCTTTTTTTTTTTTTTTTTTTTTATTAGGATTTGGGTGAAGATTTACAGAGTAAATTCACTTTTCATACAGCAGTTCACATATACTTTGTCTCATGTCATTGACCAAAATTTACAATGCAGCAGCTCCCCTCCCACTTCCTCCCCATAGTTACCTCCTCCCAGTGTCCATCCCTTCATACTCTTCTGCACCCTGAGCTATCTCCCTGTGCAGAAGCAGCCCTTCCTTCTCACATGATTGTTCTCTCCAGGGCGTGTGTGGGATGACTCATTTTAAGCCTATTGTTTGGCAAAGCTGACCAATCCTCAAGGTGGGGCTCCATATACCTTATTTGCACAGTCCCACCCCCAAAAGGGTACCATGTACCTTATTTACATTATTAGCAAGCTATCCAATCCCCTCACATTTGCATAGTCTCACCCAGTCATCTGGTGGGAGTCATAAGAACCGTGTCTAGAAGAGCCACATTAAGTAATTCACTGCATCACAGTTATTATAAAAATAACCCTGGATCCACTCAAATTTATTTTTAAAAATCAAGTCCTCTCCATTCTCAACTTTAGCTATTATGAGTAACAAATTATCGATGGTACATCTCACAGTGCATTGTCCTGTCAGTTTCAGCAAGGCTGAAAACTGTGGTGCTAACTTCTCTGGCTTTAAAGGCTCTGGAAGGCTTAAGACACATGTATTAGTTTCCTAAGCTGCTGTAACAAAAGATCACTAAGTGGGTGGCTTTAAAGAATAGATATTTATTGTCTCAGTTCTGGAGGATAGAAGTCTGAAATCAGGGTGTCAGTCAGCAGGACCATGTTCTCCCCTAAAGGCTCTAGGGGAGGATCCTTTCTGTCTCCCAGCTGCTGATAGCTCCAGGTGTTTCCTGGCTTGCAACTGCAACGGGAGTCCATCTCTGCCTCTGTCTTCACTGGCATCTTTCCTCTGTGTCTCTTTTCCTCCTTTATGAGGACACTCAAAAAATCTGACTGCGTCAAGTCGGATCCAACTCATAGCGACCCCTCCTTGGGTTTATGAGGTGGTATCACTACAGAAGCAGATTGCCCAACCTTCCTTCAGGGGAGAAGGATGGCTGAACCACCAGCCTTCTGGTTAGCAGTCAAATGCCTACTCAGATTAAAAGGACCCCTGGTGGTGCAGTGGTTAAGTACTCAGCTGCTAACTGAAAGGTTGATGGTTCAAACCCACCAGCTGCTCATGGGAGAAAGATGTGGCAGTCTGCTTGCATAAAGATTACAGCCCTGAAACCCATGGGGCAGTTCTACTCTATCATAGAGAGTCGCTATGGGTGGGAATTGACTCAGTGGCCACGGGTTTGATTTTCTGGTTTACTCAGATTGGATTAAGATCTACTCAACTCTGGGATGACTTCATATTAACTGGTAACATCTTCAAAGTCCCTATTTCCAAAAGAGATCACTTTCACAGGTACAAGGGGTCAGAACCTCAAAGTAAATTTTTGGGGAACACATTCAATCCATAATACTATGTCCTATTCATTTAAAGACTCTAGCGCCAAGCTTCAATCATAGGAGGAACTTCATAACTGTGAACAAGTTTGACTTGAACTACCCTGATCAGACCTGAAGTAAGGTTTAGTCGGACAAGCTCCCAGGGTGGAAGAGAGGGCATACAGAGTCACCAGCCATTCTTAAACAGGCATTTACCACAGCCCCTGAGGGCATGCAGTCTTCCAAATAGTCACTTTGGATAATGGGCAGTGAAGAAAAGACTCATCCTGCCCTTTAAAGAGGGTGTATGGGAGACAAGACCAGCCAATATGTAATCAGCATAAACACGGAGAGAAAAATACAGTAATTCCAAGAGATGTTGAGGGAAAGAATGAATGGGTAAGGTGGGAGAAATGAACCACAAGATCGCAGGAGAGAGTGGAGGCTGGTTGCTGTGTCTCTGGTTCACAAAGTCATTTGTACCCAGAGAAGGAAACCTGGAAAGCCATCTGGGATGGGCCTTGCATTGGCCATTCTCCACTGGTGGGAGGTGGGGACCAGCTGGGATCTGCTCTGGATGTCTCGGAGCTCTTTTAGGAGTGCAGAGTTGGGACAAGTCACCCATGCACTTTGTAAGGGGATCCAGCTTCTCTGGGAATGCAGATTAGCTTGTTGTTCTAGTTCCTTCTAGAACATGTAAGTGGCTGCAGACGGCTCTTGGAAGGGAGTCCAACTCTGTATGGAGATATCCTGACTGTGGATGGTTGCCCATCTCCACCTCTTGGACTCCTTGCTAAAGTCACTTTTGATGGAGGAATCATTGTGTGGACTGTGGAGCCCCAGAAGGCCGGCTTATGCCTCAGGAAGTCAGTATACATCCTTCACAGAGAGATGTTGTAAGACCAAGGAATATTAGAAGATAGGTCTTGCTCTAAATTACTTAACTGGCGATTACGTGAAAAGTGAGCCTTTCTGCTAATAGGTTGTCTTCTCCACCATCATTTATATTCACTATTTTTTGGATAAATTTTAGGAAATGCCATTTTATATGAAATATCCTAATTCAATTCTTCCTGCAATATCATCTTAATGGACTTGATAAAAAACCACAACCAAACTCACTGCTGTTGAGTCAGGTCCGATTCATAATGACCTCTCCTTGGGTTTCTGAGGTGGTATCACTATGGAAGTAGATTGACCAATCTTCCTTCTGAGGAGTGGCTGGTGGGTTTGAACTGCCAGCTTTCTGGTTAGCAATCAAATGCCTGAGACACTACGCCAACCGGGGCTCCAAGTCAATATAATACAAATAGAGCTGAGAAATGTATTTTGCTTCACTGCTCATTCCTCCATCATCCAAGTTCATATTTCCTCAAAATCTCACATACATTACAACACAAAGAAGATACACATGCAGAAGAAAGCCAAGCTAACTCAGGTAAAATTACACTGGTGCGTGCAAAAGTCAACTCTGTTCTTTGGGATGCCAGCTGCACAAGGTCTCAGAATTCCATCTGTAATGTTCTCCCAGGAACATCACAATGCTGACAATCCAAAGAGTCCAGAGCCCCAGAATCAGGGTCTGGGATACCAGAGAAAGGATGGAGAGGGATCCCCATGGATCCTGGGGTTTTGTATAAGGGCAAAAGCTTGGAAGTAGGAAATAAAGAGTGAAATCCCATCAACATTGTTGAGTCTGGATGCCATCTTGAGGATGTCCCATTTCACTAAGTGGAATGCTGCCCAAGTGAGCAAAAGTATGATGACGTATGACAATGCCAGGTAATCAGCTCACCTCTCTCTCTCTCTCCTCCCTTATGTCACCAGGGACAAGCTCTGGGTATTGGCAGCACCACCTTCCCTAGACAGAGAGGAAAAGCAACCGGTTTGGCCAATCGATCAGCCAGTATTTGAACAACATGGGCAAAGAAACCGTAAAAAATGGATGCCCTTGAGTTAGGGGGCATAGAGATTGTTCTTTCTGTGGTAATTTCCTTTAGAGTTTTATATTTAAAATGATTTAAATATGTGAAAGTAATTATTGTTCTAGATAAAATGAATTCACCATCCTCAACATGACTTGGTGGCTTATAGGCACAGGGCCAGTATAAATGCTGAGTTGTGAAGAAGTCAGAGAGGGTCAAAACTTACATAGAACACTTACTTACAAAAAAAAAAAAAAAAATGCAACTCTTGTTCATCGTTGCTCTCTTCTTAATTTGGAGCCCCATTCCTACTAATGGCAGAGAAAAATTAAAATTGCCAATTAAAGATAATTTATTCTGCTCCTGTTTGAAGCATTTTCTTGGAAATTAGCTCAGTCTCATTTGGGTAAATACCCAGTCAGCTCAAAAGCTGTTTCTTCCCTCCCTCAGGGGTCACTTCTCCCACTCGTCCTTCCCAAGATGGTGTTTGTGTGCAGAGGGAATCTGGCATATCCTTATGGCAGAAGTCCTTAGGAGTCCTTGGAAATGGCCTTGTCCCTGAATGTCCTGGGCTGATGTTTACTTAGGTGTGGCTGATCTCACTGGCCTTCGTGGGCATCCTCTGGCATCTGCTGTTAAGGTCCTGTGGTCCCTCAAATCACCAGGTCCCTGTTCCTTGTGGCTTCTTACTCCCTCGCCCTGACCATAGGCCTCTGCCAGGACACAGTTGCTCTCAGCACCTTGGTGTCCCCCCAACCAGAGCAGACCAGGACTCAGAGTCAGGGGGACCTGAAGCTGCCTGAGACCCATCTACTCTAGATATTCCACCATGTCTACACTACAGTAAACATAGTAGGGAGGCAAAGGAACAACCAAGATATGTCCACCCTCTCTCAAACCACCTGGGGTTTCTAATGCCTCCTCACCTCCTCCCCGGCGTTGCTTAACCTTGGTTAACTGCTGGGGAGATGGAAAGAGAAAGCTGAGGGAGGAAACAGTTACTTCTCAGCACCTAGTCTTATCCTCCCAGAATTGCCGTGTGGCAATGCTTCCTATTTCCTCTTCCTATCAGGTGGAAATTTCCCATAAGTCATTTCCTCTGACTGCTCTACACTATGGTTTCCATCCTATTTGACCTAGTTTGTCCCTTTATGTGTTAAAGGAAGCCTCTGGGGATTCAGAAAACCCTTTTCTCTCTCCACAAAGCCTGATATCTAAGTCCATTACCTTGCTAGATATTCAAAATACCATTTGGGATTGTTGCATTCCATCAAGTCAATTCCAACTCATAGTGATCCTGTATGACAGAGTAGAACTGCCTTATAGGGTTTCCAAGGCTATAATGTTTATGGAAGTGGATCATCAGATCTTCTCTCCTGCAGAGTTTCTGGTGGGTTTGAACCACTGACCTTTCAGTTAGCAGCCGAGTGTTTAACTGTTGCACCATTAGAACTTTAGAGTTGACTCCCTTTTCTTTGCTGCCCACATTTACAATCCTAATCTTCTCCATAAGGATCCTTAGCAGTGCAATGGTTAAGCGCTCAGCTGGCTGCTAACCAAAAGTTTGGTGGTTGGGACCCACCCTTCTGCTCCAGAAGAGAAAGACTTGGCATCTGCTCCCATAAAGATCACAGCTCAGGAAACTCTAACGAGCCATTCTGCTCTGTCACATGGAGTCACTATGAGTGGAAATGGACTTGATGGCACCTACCAACAACAATGGTCTTCTCTAATCAGCAGATGACTAAGTCAAAGCAGGATAAATCAAAGTGGGTTTGATAAAGGGACTGTGTTCAAAGGCGTGATGAGGGTAGGGGAATGTCAAGAAAGTGCAATACCTTAGGAGTAATTATTACCACCCCTAGGCTCAAGGTTTGATAGGAAGTAGTTACTGACCCTGGAAGGAGAGAGTATGTAGACAAGAGAAAGAGTAACCTTCAGTTAGGATCTTAGCTGGCTCAAGGCAACCCCAAAGACAGCCAGGGAAAAAATAGTGTCATCATTATTCCCCCTTCTCAGGCCCTGCTGGAGCTTCCTATTGGCCAAAGTTCACTGGATGTCAGAGAAAAGGGAGCCCTTTGATGTACAAGTCGGCCTCTGGACGAGGAAGAGTAGAGGAGTGAGAATGGATGAAAGGTTGCTGTCAAGTTGCCTCTGATGCATGGTGACTGTGTATGTGTCAGAGTAGAACTCTATCCACAGTGTTTCCAATGGTGGATTTTTCAGAAGTAGGTGCCTTTCATCTGAGGCCACTCTGGGTGGACTCAACCCTCCAACCTTTCAGTTAGCATCCAAGCACGTTAACCGTTTGCACCACCCAGGGTTTCCCAGTTTAGTCCTTAGCTCTGCTGTCTTCTATTTTGTGCCTTCTGGCTTGTGCCTTAGTGTCTTTGAACCCAATGTTTTCATCTGTCAAATGTAGGTACCGATATAGATGGAAATTGCAGGATTGTTTGTGAATATCAAATGGTACAAGTTTAATATGTAAAATCTTTGCATGATAACTCATGCCATTACCCACAAAAAGTCTACCATCTTATTATTATTTAACTTGCAGGCAGAATGGTGGTCCATTGGACAGGAAACAAATGTTTTTGGTTTGTAACCCTACAAACGCATGGGACAAACATAACAGTCATGAGTGGAGTAGTGTGGGGTGATAGGGTTAACTTTCTCTGCTACAATCTAGCAAAGTTTGCAGACTAGAGGCTCTTGGTGCATTTGCTTTATCTCACCCAGTTAAAAGTTGAACTAAAAATAGTAAATTAAACAAGTAAATGTAAAAAGTGAGGAACTTTCATATGCAGTGTGGACTATAAGCTGCTCTTGAACAGTCAGATCTGGACACACTGGGCCCTCATTCCTGTTGGCTAACATCAGCTGTGACTTGGAAGCATCTCGTGGTTAAGACAGGGTGTGCCCCTTCCCATGCTCCACTGTCCCTTCCCAGGTCCCTGCCAGTCCCAGAGAGCCTGATCTTGGGACTCAGGCTAATGACTAGCTTTTAGGACCGTCAGCAAATTCTTGAACTCTTTTCTGTCTCAATTTCCATATCTGTTAAATGGACATGATAACATAATACCTACCTCAGAAGGTTCTTCCAAGGATTCAATAACACTCACAAAAAGTTTTCCGCAGTGCTTGGGATACAGAAAGCACTCAGAGTTAGCTACTATTATCATCTGAGAGCTTTGCAAATGAGTAGGTATCTCCACCCTTAATTGCAATGCATTTGAGAGTAATGGGATGAAACATTGCCACACCTGCACCATCTTTACTATCAATGCCACGTCTGAGCCCATGTTGCAGACACTGTGTCAATCTCTCTGCTTGAGGGTCTTCCTCTTTTTTTGCTGACCCTCTATTTTACCAAGCATGATGTCCTTCTCCAGGGACTGGTCGCCCCTGATAACATGTCCAAAGTACATGAGACAAAGTCTTGCCATCCTTGCTTCTAAGGAGCATTCTGGTCATACTTCTTCCAAGACAGATTTGTTTGTTCTTCTAGCGGGCCATGACTCTTTGCCAACACCATCTTTCATATGCATCAATTCTCCTTCGTTTTCCTTATTCATTGTCCAGCTTTCACATGACTATGAGGCTTGTGTCAGGGACACATTAGTCTTCAAAGTGACATCTTTGCTTTTTAACACTTTCAAGAGATCTTTTGCAGCAGGGATATAATATTTTGACAAAAATACTAATGAGTGTTTCTTTCTCACACTTTCTTGTCCTGGATCACTCTCCAATTCCCTTTCAGGGAAAAGTAGGGTATTTTCATTTGTTTGTTTTCTTTTTCTCCCCCCCCCCCAAGTATCTTCTGTTTGTCCAGAGTCCCTGGGTGGTGGAAATGGTTAATGTGCTCAGCTGCTTCCAAAAAAATCAATCACTAAAAACCCTGTGGAGCACAGTTCTACTTTGACACACTTGGGATTACCATGAGTCAGAGTCAACTTGGTGACAACCGGTTTTAAAACCTGAGCTTAGGACTCTCTGACTCCAAAACTTTCTCTTTCTACCAACCTTTGTGGACCTTCCCCTGCACAGCTCTGAGACTCTAGGCATACAAACCAGAGACCCACTGCGCAGGGAACATCAAGCTCGACTGGCATAGCACACTACACAAAAACATTATTCTACATCCTACTATGGTGAATAGCAACTGGGGTCTAAAAATCTTGCAAGTAGCCATCAGATGCAATGATGCATCTCTCCTCATCCAGAGCAAAGAAGAATGAAGAAAATCAAAGACATATAGAAACAATTAGTCCAAGAGACTAGTAGACCATGCAATCCTCAGCCTATATGACCATGAGACCAGGACTAGATGGTGCCCAGCTACTAATGTCAACAACTGGGAGGGGGATCAGTGCAGGAGATCCTGGATACAGTGGGAGAACAATGTGGAACAAAACTCAAAATAAAATAATAATAATAATAATAAAATTAAAAGACCAGGTTTGCTGCTCTGATGACGCCTGATGAGACCTCTGAGACTGTGGCCCCTAGTTACCCTTCAGGTCTGGAACTGAAGTCACTCCTGTGGCTTCCAGCCACATAATACACAAGCATCTGGAGTGAACATTTATATCAGGTAGATACACTCCTTGGAGCAATCCATCATGGAAGAACAGAAGGACAGTGTTTGCACAGGGAGATAGCTCAGGAGGCGGAACAGGGAAGAGGTAACTACGGGAAGGAAGTAGGAAGAGAGCTGTTACATTGTGGGGAACTGCAGTCAATGTCATGAAACAAAATGTGCATGAACTGCTGTATGGAAAATGAATTTGTTCTGTCAAATTTCACCCAAATCACAATTTGGAAAAAAAAAAAGAGCCCCACTGCAACAATCTATTC